GATAGATAGATAGATAGATAGATGATGGGGTGTATGGGGATAGATTAGATAGATGGATGGATAGATAGAGGGGATGTATGGGGATAGATAGATAGATAGAGAGGGTGTATGGGGATAAATTAGATAGATAGATAGATAGATAGATAGATAGATAGATAGATAGATAGATAGATAGATGATGGGGTATATGGGGATAGATAGATAGAGGGGTGTACAGGGATAGATTGATCTATCTATCCCCAGAAGTTCTGAAAACTCTTTATCCCCAGCTCACCTTTGTTTCCGAGAACTGCCGCCGAAGAGCCCAAATCCCTGGTGAAGGTGAGTTCTAAGCAGGTCCGGATCCATCCTGCAGCCCCTAAAACTGAGTGGGATTCCCGGATGGGTGTTGCCGGCTCAGCAACTTCCGATTCATTCGGGTCAGCACCAGAACCAGACCCAACCCCGGACTCTCCTGAGGCGAGGGGACACGCGTTCCACCCGGCTCTGGGGCCTCGACTCACCACGCTGGAACGGAGTGGTCCAAGGGCCTGTGGGAGATTTGATTTGTAATAACCCCCCCGTACCCCCTCTTTCCTGCCCCATCTCTGCCCTCCCACCACATACAGGCCAGTGGCAGTGCAGAGCCAGCTGTGCCATGCATTGGCTTGGCACCCGGGCAAGAGCTCTGGGGCTGGTGACCCTTCCAGAGAGGGCACGAGTCCAACTGGATGTGCAGATCTGGAAGGAGGGAGGGCGTTTGTGTCTCCAGCAACGGCTAGGGGTCAGATTCCAGGTCCCTGCGGCGGGGGACAGATCTGGAACTGAAAAGCAAAGTAGCCAAGGCCCAGCCCCTCCGTTATTTACCTGCTGAGAGCAGAGATCAGGGACCAGCATCTCCCCCAGCGGCAGCTGCGAAGCTAGGGAGGGCCTGGGGCAGTGAGAGGAATGCAGCTGGCACTTCAGGGCGCCTGGGACATCTCCTCAGCAGGGGAACATGTCTGCACGGGCCCACCCGTGCACGCTCACCGTGTGCAACCCCCCCTGCATGCACATGCACACTCGTGCACATCCATGCACACACGTGCAAGTCTTTGCACTCTCATGTGCACACTTTAGCACACACATACCCTCCCCATGGTCTTGTCCTCGCAGGCCCATAAGCCCTTTTCCTCACATGCCCTTGCACACATACACACCTGTGCAAGTCCTTGCACTCCCATCTGCACACTCATGCACTCCCATGCCCGCATCCCCACAGGCACAAATGTTCGTAAGAACCTGCGCCCGGGCACACACATCCATTCAGACATGCATGCAGGCATTCGTGCACTAACACATGCCCTGGCACTAACTTGCACGTGGATGCACGTCAGCGTGCCAGCGCACGCCAGCAACACATGCACCTTTAGCTCTGCCGTTTCACGTGCAGGTGGCCTTCCTCGCTTACAAACGACATACACCCTGCAGGCTCATAGCGCCGCGCAAATGAGATGCCCGGACAGCTCCCCTGGCGTTTTCTGTGCGGAAGAACTGGGTCGGGGTGGGGATGGGGGGGCCTTTACAACAGCACAAAGCAAGCGGATTTGACTTGAAGCATCACCCCCAAACTCTAACCGACCCCCTTAGAAAAACTTCTCTGCGTTTCACTAACCTCCCAGTCACCCCCTTCCCTAGTATTTTAATAACTGCCTCTGCCCGAGGGGTTCTGGCGGGCCCCCGTTCCTGACGGAGACTCTGTCACCCCAATATTCCTAGTCCTGATCGGTGGGACCTTCCCCGCCGGAGCTATCTTCATGGGATTTTACAGACCGGCTCAGAACCTAGAGCCGCCAAGCTTCGCGGTGTTTCAGGCCACCCTCCACCCCCGGTCCCCGCACAGCTACGGGTGGGTTGGGTAAAGGCTGCAGGCACCGTCCCTTTAAAGGCCCTGCCCCGGGCTCCTAGCCATGCAGTGCCCCCTGCTGTGCCACTTAAGTGCTGGCTTTCCCTGTGCCAGCCTTGGAACAGGTGACATTTTCCTGCACCTGGCTGGGCAATTAGCCGGCTGCTTTGAGCATAGTTGATCAGGGGCCTCCTGCGGGCAGGGCTGGAGGGGAGGGGGAACCGCTGAGCGGCCCTAATTAACCAGGCCTCCCAGATACGGCTCCCCCTCTTCCCGGAGTGTGGCTCATTTCCCTTCCTTGGATCAAGTCAGAGGCGGTGGGCTCCCCGCGGTCCCCAGCACAGCCAACCTCCAGCCCCCTTCATCTGCAGCCCCCCTCCTGGCCCAGCGGCTCCACTGAGCTCCCTTTAAAGGTTAGCTCCGTGCTGGGGGGAGGCGTGGGTGGAACAGAGAGCTTGGGGTGGGGTGGGGGGGCAGGGTGAGCTCATAGGCACACGCAAACATACACACATACACATACATGTACTTGGCTTCCTTCCCCAGACGGGAAGACGAGCTCTATGCAGCTGGAGAGCGTGTATCTTCCCCCCATTCCGCTCGCATGGGGGTGCTCTGTAACTGAGATCCCCATAGGGTGTCCAGATGTCCCTATTTTATAGGGACAGTCCTGATATTGGGGCTTTTTCTTCCATAGGCGCCTATTACCCCTCACCCCGTGTCCCGATTTTTCACACTTGTTGTCTGGTCACCCTAGATCCCCATCAATGCCTCACATAGGAGCCACTCAGGGCGGATGATTCTGTCACTACTGACCAGGAGCCATCCTGGAGCCAGCACCTGGAGGGGAAGGGCCCCGTACCCCATTGCCCGCCCGCCTGAGCCAGCCAGTCCCCACCGCTGTAGGGGGCTGGATCAGAGCTGGCGCCCCCTATAGACGAGGGAGCTGGGAGCGTGCGAGGGGCAGGCGCGGCCCTGGGGCTCGGGGAGTGGTGTCCCGGTGGTGACAGCAGCCCGCGATGAGTTACATCTGCTCTCTCTGCCCCCCCCCACCTTCCCCTTATTCCCCCCGCTCCACTCGCCCCTCCCCGCCGGCTCCCTGCAGGGCAAGTGCCTGGCTGGGGAACCATGTCCAACAACATGGCCAAGATCGCCGAGGCCCGCAAGACGGTGGAGCAGCTCAAGCTGGAGGTGAACATCGACCGCATGAAGGTGTGACTCTCTCCCCCCCCACCGCCTCCTCCTCACATGGGTGTGCAAGCCCCGCCCCCGTGCCACTGTCTCCACTGCTGTGGAAGCCCCACCCCAATGCCATCCCCTCTGCATGATGGCTGTGGGGGGAGTTCCTGGATACTCCAGCTCCGGCCTCTCCCAGCAGGGGGCGCTGTGGGGAGTGGGGCAGGAGCTGGCTGTGGGGGGAGCTCCCAGCTACTCCAGCTCCGGCCTCTCCCAGCAGGGGGCGCTGTGGGGAGTGGGGCAGGAGCTGGCTGTGGGGGGAGCACTGGCTGGGAGATCGCCCAGTGGCTCTGTGGCCGGCAGAGGGTGCTCTCCCTCGGCTCCCGCTGGCGTGTTTAACCCTTTCCTCCCCGTGGCAGGTGTCAAAGGCGGCGGCGGATTTGCTGGCCTACTGCGAGGCGCACGCCAAAGAGGACCCGCTGGTGACCCCGGTGCCCTCCTCGGAGAACCCCTTCCGCGAAAAGCGGCTCTTCTGCATCGTGCTGTGAGCCCTGCGGCCAGCGACTCAGCGCACCCCCCCCTTCCCTCCCCCCGGCTACAGCTCCAGAGCGGCACCGCTAGCTTTAGCGTAGGGGAGCGGAGAGTGGGTCAGAGACCGGCGGGGGGGACGACACTGGGGGACAGAGCATGGGGTGTGGGCTGCACACCCTGACTGACCTGGGGAGTCTGCTTCACCTGTCCTCCTCCCCCCCCCCTCCCGTGAACATTATCTCTGAGGATTCACCCTTGGCTGCTCTTTCCAAGATCAATAAACACACTGCTGAGTTACCCTCCCTCTGCCCGTTCATTGCGTCCCCAGCCCCTGTCCCCCCACACCCCCAGCCCCTGTCCCCCCACTGCCCCCGGCTCCTGTCCCACCCACTGCCCCCAGCTCCTGTCCCCCCACACCCCCAGCTCCTGTCCCACCCACTGCCCCCACCTGGTCACTGAGCCACCAGGTCCTGTCCCCTCCCACTGCCCCCACCTGGTCACTCAGCCCCCAGGTCCTGTCCCTCCCGCTGCCCCCATCTGGTCACTCAGCCCACAGGTCCCATCCCCCTCCCGCTGCCCCCACCTGGTCACTCAGCCCCCAGGTCCCATCCCCCTCCCACTGCCCCCACCTGGTCACTCAGCCCCCAGGTCTCGTCCCCCTCCCACTGCCCCCACCTGGTCACTTAGCCCACAGGCCCTGTCCCTCCCACTGCCCCCACCTGGTCACTCAGTCCACAGGCCCTGTCCCCCCCAAAAATGGGACCTCTGGTTCTAACTTCCCTCACCCTGCTGTTCCAGTCTGGTCACTGAGCCCATCCTCCCCTGCTGCCCCAGATTCCACCTCCTTCCCACCACCCCCACCCAGATACTGAGCCCCCAGGTCTCTCCCCAAGTCCCCAGGTTCTCTCTTCCCCCTGCTGCCCCCCACCCAGTCACTGAGCCCCCAAATTCCATCTCCACACCATGCCTGCCCAGTCACTGAGACCGCAGGCCCTGTCTCCCCCCAAGTCACTGAGCGTCCAAGTTCTGTCTCCCCCCCCAGCCAAGACCCCAAGACCGGTCTCTGCCCCAAGACCCCAGGTTCTGTCTCCCTCCGCTGGCCCCCACCGAATCACTGAGCCCCCAGACCCCATTCCCCCCTGAACTCCCAGGGTTTGTCTGCCCCCACCCCCCACCCACGCACAGTGCCCTCAAGCCCTGAATCCCCAGGTCCTGTCTCCCCACTCCCGATGTCCCCATCCAGTCACGAAGCCTCCAGGGCCTGTCTCCCAGGGGGATGCCCAGGGGTGGCTGACAGATATTAAGGGACTCGGTCCCATCCTGTGTAGCTGGCTCTGTGGCACTGTGGCCCTCAGTGTGGGGAGGTGAGGCTGTGTGCCCATCACCCAGGCCCCCACAGCGGTGCTCTGTCCCCGCTGGGCAAGCGGGTGCTGTGGCTGTGAGGCCTAGGGGTGCCATGTGTCTATGAACAGGGGAGGAGCGGGGCGGGGGGGAACCAGCTGCCCCCCATCCCAGCAAGGTGGGGGGAGAGGGGGACCAGAGTCCGGCATGCTGCCCCCTCCCCGGTTATAACAGGGTGACATCCAGGGCTGTGGGAAGGGATTGGAGTTTACTGGCAGGACCCGGGTCAGAGTGACTCTGGGTTAATGTTTCTGCCACACAGCAAGGGCTGGAGCCGCCGGCTGCACTGGGAGCTGTTACACACGTCCACACGCATGCACAACGTCCAGACACACACATGCATGCCTGGATGCGCACACACACACACACACACACACACACACATGTACACACATGGATGAACACACATGCATGCACATGCATGCGTGGATGTACACAACTGCACATAAGCCTGCATGCCGGTATGAACAGGGATGCAAACACAGACCCATGCCTGTATCCACATGGATGCACACACGCGTGCATGGATGCACACGCATACCTACAGACACATGCACACGGTGGCGTTGGAACACATTTAATAGTGGGGGTGCTGAAAGCCAGCACCCTTACCCCTCTCCGCGCCCCGCCTCCCTGCTGGGGCCCGGAGCAGGGCTGTGTCTCTGAGGGAGGAGGGGGGGAACTGGGACAGGGGTAAGGGGGCAAGGCTGGGACCACACCCACCTGTAGCAAGGATACACCTGAAATGGGGGGGGCTAAGGAGGGACCCAAAGATGTTGGGGTGTACGATCACCTGCCTACTGAGGTGCTAATGGGTAATGACTTGGAGGACTGGCCGGATGGCACTCAGAGCGCTTTGGTCCTTACCCAGAGCCAGAGCTAGCGAGGGACATGGGAAATCCCGAAGGGGAGACCAAAGCACCGAGGGTAGGGCTTGACAGGGCTGGGCCGGAGCCTCTGTCCCAAGGTGGGGAAACTGAGGCACCACCAACCAGGGCTGTATTCTCCAACCCAGCAGCTGAATTCCAGACGGAGCTGCAGGAGGATCCCTCCTTAGAGAAGCTGAGGGCCCTGGCTGGCCACAGCGGTGCAGGACACCTGGGGGAGGACCACCGGGAGCGATTCCTGTGGAAGACGGGATTCCTGTACTGGGAATGGGCTGGCTTGGGGCAAACCGAACCATGGAAAGCCAGGAGGCAGGTAGTGGTCCCCCAGAGGTACCGCCGCAGACTGTTGCAGAACTTTTACTGGCCCGGGGTCTTTGACGCTGTCCAACAGTACTACAGGTCCTGTGACTCCTGCCAGAGGGTGGGGAAGGCCTGGGATAAATGTAAAGCAGCTCTGAGACCTTTGCCCATCAGAGAGGAGCCTTTCCAGAAGGTGGCTATGGACATAGTGGGGCCCCTCAGCAGGGCGACCCAGTCGGGGAAGAAATACATTCTGGTGGTGGTAGATTTCGCTATGCGCTACCCTGAGGCGGTGGCCTTGTCCTCTATCGAGGCAGACACTGTGGCAGACGCGCTGCTGACCATTTTCAGCAGAGTGGGGTTCCCCAAGGAGGTCCTTACAGACCAGGGGTCCATCTTCATGTCAACCCTGCTCCAGTGCTTGTGGGAGAAGTGTGGGGTCTGGGACACCTGGGCCTTGGCGTATCACCCTCAGTCCAACGGGCTGGTGGAGAGGTTCAATGGGACCCTAAAGATGACGCTGAAAACATTTATGGACCAGCATCTGCAGGACTGGGACAAGTATTTACCCCACCTGCTGTTTGCATACAGGGAAGTACCCCAGGGATCCAGGGTTTTCCCCATTTGAGTTGCTGTATGGGAGGAGAGTGAGGGGACCCCTGGACTTGATGAGGGACGAATGGGAAGGGAAGGCCTCTCCTGATGGAGAATCAGTGGTGGAGTATGTACTGACCTTCTGGGAAAAGCTCGCAGAGCTCATGGGCTTGGCCAGGGGAAACCTGGCCAGGGCACAGAGGAAGCAGAAGGTCTGGTAGGACCGCTCAGCACATGCCGGCTCCTATGCTACCGGGGACCAGGTGATGCTCCTCATCCCCGTGAGGAAGAACACGGGGGCGGCCCCTTCAAGGTCATCAGACTGGTAAACGAGGTGAACTATGTAGTGGAACTGTCCCACCGGGCTCACAGCCACTGGGTGTATCATGTCAACATGATGAAACCGTACTGGGACAGGGAGAAGTTGGTGCTGGCTGTGTGTGGGCAGTGGGAGAAGAAGGGGTGAGTCTCCCACCTGAGGCTGGAGCTGACCCCTCGCTGGAATCAATTCCCCTCTCAGACCAGCTAACCCCTGTCCAGCAGGCTGAGATCAGAGAGGTGCTACATTCAGAACAGCAGCTGTTCTCCAACAGGCCTGGGCTCACTCACCTGGCTGTTAACCGGGTGGAGACGGGAACCAACCTTCCCATCAGGTGTTCAGGGTCACTGGGAAAACAGCCCAGGACCTGGCGAGAGAGGGCGGAGACATGCTGGCTTTCGGGGTGATCCAGCCGTCCTCCAGCCCCTGAGCCTCGCCCGTGATGCTGGTCCCCGAGAAGGATGGGTTGATCCGGTTCTATGTGGACTATCGGAAGGTCAATGCCATCACCATGTCTGATGCCTACTCCATGCCTAGGACTGACGAGATCCTAGACAGGTTTGGGGGCGCCCGGTACCTCACTACTATGGAGCTCACCAAAGGCTACTGGCAGGTGCCTTTGGACCCGGAGGCCAGGGCGAAATCCGCCTTCACCACTCCAATAAGGCTCTTTGCGTTCCTGGTCCTGCCTTTCGGCCTCAAGGGGGCGCCTGCCACCTTCCAGCGCCTGGTGGATCAGTTACTGAGGGGGACGGAGAACTTTCCTCTCGCGTATATTGCCGATATTGGTATCTTTAGCCAGACCAGGGAGGAACATGTGTCCCAGGTGAAGACGGGGCTGGGACACCTCTAGGATGCAGGATTGACCATAGAAGCTGGAAAGTGCAAGGTGGGGATGGCAGAGGTGTCATACCTGGGCCACAAGGTGGGGAGCAGCCACCTGAAGCCGAAGCCGGCCAAAGTGGAGGCAATCAAGGACTGGCCACTCCCCAGACTAAGAAGCAGGTCCAGGCTTTCATTGGGATGGCGGGGTACTACCGGAGGTTTGTGCCCCACTTTAGCTCCGGCAGCTCCCCTCACGGAGCTGTGTAGGAAGGGAAAGCCGGACAAGGTGGTCTGGACTGAGCAGTGCCGGAGGGCTCTCTGTGCGCTGAAGGGGGCACTCATCCAAAGCCTGGTGCTGGTAAACCCGGATTTTAGCAAACCCGCCCTGGTGTTCCCCGCGCCTCGGACACAGGGCTGGGTGCGGTGCTGATGCAAACCGATACTAAGGGAGAGACACACCTCATTGTGTACTTGAGCGAGAAGCTGCTGCCCCGGGAGCCGCACTATGCGGCCATGGAGAAGGAATGCCTGGCCATGGGGTGGGCCCTCAAAAAGCTGCAGCCGTATCTATTTGGGGGGGAGCATTGGGGGGCATTGGGGGGTGTATGCCGACCATTCGCCCCTGACGTGGCTGCACCAAATGAAAGGGGCTAATGCCAAGCTCCTGAGATGGAGCCTGCACCTTCAGGGTTATGACATGGAGGTGGTCCATGTGAGGGGGAGTGCCAGTGTTATAGCCGATGCTTTATCACGGGGTGGGGGCCCTGAACTTCCCCAGGTCTCTGGCTAAGTGACCCCGCTCCGTTCAGACTCGAAGGGGGGAGAGATGTGCCGGAGTGGGGGGTTTTCTTGGTTTTTTTCAGTGGTTTGGATGCAGTGGGGGTGGGACTCAGTTT